AGAGGCGTGTGACGAGACAGCTTCACGATGCCGCTGACGATGCAGTGGATGGTCGTCGTGTACTTGTTGGGGACCTTGCTGGAGTCTCGGAGGAGCTCGTTGGGAGCTCGAAGAACAGAGTTGTACTTGAAGTACATCGGCCCTGTCATAGCAAGCCTCTTGTCAGCCATCTCACGCTCTCTTGCTCCTCTCTCCTCCCCCATGCTCCTTCTCCCTCTCTCGCTATCTCTCTCTCGTACCTGTGTAGAGCTGCAGCGCGATCAGCTCCGCCTCCTGTAGCCCCGCCTTGATCGCCGTGTCCAGCGCCTTCAGCTCCTCCATCCCTCGGATCACCCGCGTCCCGTCCGACAGCCTCCGCCTCCTCTCCGGGTCTGTGACGTTGAGCCACTCCTCCTTGGCTGTCGTCGTGATCTTGTAGTTGCTCGTCGTGAACGCTTCCTCCGCGTCCTTGCCCTTGCAGTGCTCCTCCTCTATCGCCTTCATCAGCTCCGTCTGAGGTAGCCCGATCCGCTCCATCAGCCCCCCGTAGTACTCCTCGATCTTCCCGTACACGGCCTCGCGTACCTCCGCAAACTTGCTGTTGTGCGACGTCGGACCGTCTCCTCCCGCCCGCCCTCCTGCCTCCGCCGGCCTCCTCAGCGCCTCCTCGAGCCTCCTCCCTATCGCCGTCTGCCATAGAGCCGATAGAGCGCTCTCCGTCATCCCCTGTAGCCCCGCAAGAGGACTCGCCGCGCTCCCGCCGGGGATGCACTCCGCTATGACTCGGAGGATGTTGAGGTCGCCGAGGCTGCTGGTCTTGCGCTCGAGCTCCCACTCTCTTGCGACTCTGACCTCGTAGTCGTCGTACGAGAGCTTGTCAGGGCTGAGGGCCGACGCGTCGACGCCGAGAGCCATGCGGAGGTTGTTGAGAATCGTTTTGTATTCCTCGGAGTCTTGAGGGGTCTGAAAGAGCTTCTTGAGGTCAGAGCTGATGTCGTCGGGGATAGTCCAGCTGGTCGTCTGCTGGGTACTAGCTGGTGGATGAGCCGTGGGATGGCTGATTTGAGATTTGATCTCGATGTCTGTCTTGTTTGATGGCCGAGTCCTAGGGCTGGAGATGCTTGACGGAATGGTCTCTACGTCTCCTTGAGGGGCTGGGGGATCTTTGACAGTCTGCTTTCTCAGCTCAGCCTCGAGCTCTGAGATCCTTCTTGTCGCTTCTTCCAACCTCTGCTGGAGTAGCGAGTCATCACGACCCTCCTCGGGCTTCACTTTGGACGAGAAGCAGGGGAAGCAACTCATGTCCCTTTCTCAGCCCAGGGAGATACCTGCTACAGGAGCTTGCATCAGCCGGCTTCAGATATCCTCTGTCCTCCACCACTCTCTCCCTCCCTCTTTTTACGTCTCTCTATCTTGGATCTTCCTCTGTTTGTGGTTCGGTTTACACCACAACGATCGGATTACAGAACAGCACAGCTTTGTGATGTACACCTGAGGCTTTTTGTCTATACACTCTGATCCTACTGCCTGCAACTGCAACTCCAAGAGCGTATCAGTCGCCTGCTCTTTCAGAGCTTATCAAGTATTCACCTCAACAAGTGCCGTCTATTCTTCATCATAAGACCTATCACTCATTCTGACTTCCCCTCTCTTGCTCACTTATCCATGCATGTCTTATTCTCTCTCGAAGCTCTGCCCTGCTTCCGACTCTGCCTCCTTCTCCCACGCCGTCTCCTTTCTCCCTTTCAGTGACTGTTCGTAGAGAGAGAGATGAAAAAAAGACAGCGAGGGAAGAGAAGGCAAGGAGAAAGAAAGAAATAAGGAGATCAAGAGAGCAAGCTTCTCCATCCTTCCTTGACACAGCAAGAGAGGGATCAAGAATGCCGAAAACACATTAATCAAGCACAGAGAAGGTTTCCTCGCTCCTCTTGGTATTCTTCATATTTCATCCCTTCCTTCAGCCGTTTCTTTTCCCTCCTCTCTTCTCCTCTCTTCTGTCTGTTGTCACATCTCCTTCTCTCTGCAGCAGGTACAAGACATCTCTCACACACTAGCGACATGACAAGCTTGTCGTCGCCCTCCCTCAAGCTCCTTCCATCCTCTCTCCCTCTCTCCTCCCGCTCTCCCCCTTCATCCTCCTGCCATGTTTCCCGCCCGACCACCCCCCTACATGGAGCCCTACCCTAGTCGTATACCACCCTGTATAATCCCATTGTTTCCGGCTATCAGGTACGGGTGAGCAACACCAGCCTACCCTACCTGTTGAAGGGTTTAGGGTTTAGGGTTTAGGGTTTAGGGTTTAGGGTTTAGGGTTTAGGGTTTAGGGTTTAGGGTTTAGGGTTTAGGGTTTAGGGTTTAGGGTTTAGGGTTTAGGGTTTAGGGTTTAGGGTTTAGGGTTTAGGGTTTAGGGTTTAGGGTTTAGGGTTTAGGGTTTAGGGTTTAGGGTTTAGGCAGGATCCCTTTATCTGAGGCAGGATCCCTTTATCTGAGGCAGGATCCCTTTATCTGAGGCAGGATCCCTTTATCTGAGGCAGGATCCCTTTATCTGAGGCAGGATCCCTTTATCTGAGGCAGGATCCCTTTATCTGAGGCAGGATCCCTTTATCTGAGGCAGGATCCCTTTATCTGAGGCAGGATCCCTTTATCTGAGGCAGGATCCCTTTATCTGAGGCAGGATCCCTTTATCTGAGGCAGGATCCCTTTATCTGAGGCAGGATCCCTTTATCTGAGGCATGCAGATCAGCGGGGTCCCTGCGTGGTAGAGCAAGAGTCGCCAGGAACGCAGGAAGCTCGGGAAACCATCGAGAATGCTTCGAAACATGTGGCCAATATCTATTGTGAACCCTGACGAGATCGTGCAGTACCGTACCTCCAGCTACCTCAAGAGGCAGACGGAAGCTGCAACGATGCCGTCATCAGCCGAACTGATGCGGAGACTGGATGAATTCGCAAGGCAGAACCCCAAAAGCAGGACGAGCAAAGCTCTGAAAGCAAAAGAAATATCCTTGGAAGCCTTAGCCGAAGCCATCAGTCAGACATGCAGCTTTGCTGAACCCTCGTCACTGGAGAATCCGAAAGGGCTCAGGCAGTGGGGTGACGATGTCAGGCAGTGGTACCTGTCAGAGTTCCAAGCTGACAGACAAAGGCAGATGGAGGCCAGATCATATGATGATCAGGGCACCAATGTGCAGACGATTACCATGAAGGTACTTGGGATCCCTGCATACTTTTCCAGACAGGTGGAAAACTTATGCCTCAAGCTTGAAGAGCAAGGCTTGATCGTCGATCAGACGCAAGACAGCAGGAGCCTGATCTTCAAGGCTCCCTTGAAGCCTGACCTTGTGCAGGCAGCGGAGATCCCAGCAGTGATCACCTTTGTCCGCAATGAGGCGGCTGAGAAACTCTGGAAAGGAGAAGGTACCTTCAAGGTGGCAGGCAGGAGGATTCTAGCAGTGAACCCAGCAGCCAACCCACCGATCTCGTTCAAGATGCGGCCAAAGAAGGAGAACATGGGCAGAGTTGGAATCCTAGCTGAGGTGGCCCAACTCCTTAAGCTCAACGATTCGAGCACAGGTGACATATGTGAGATCTACAGGCAGCTATGCCTGAAGCAGGGATTAGCGATCATTGATCTGATCCCAAACGCGGGAATGACAGTGAACCTCCCCCCCAAGAGGAACCTACCGCCAAAGAAGGTGTTCGCTGCGGTAGGAATAGAAACAGTCAACCAGAACAGAGAGGTCGACTGGATCGCAACGTGCTCGAGCCTTGAAGCAGCGGACATCGTTCTTCAAGCATTCGATCGACATGGAAAGGATCGAGCAGGAGTCACTTTGGGACTGATCTCAGAGAATGACAAAATACTGAAATGGTTCTCAGTGCAGATGGAAGCAACGGCGCTGCACAAGAATATGAAGAATGCGGTGCGACAAGAGGGCACGGCAATGGCAACGGGAGCAGAGATGCTGTACTCGGTACAAATCTCCTCTCCTGTGCCGTCAGGGAAGTTCTCCCGAAATGAGATCGAAAAAATCTGTGCAAGTGACGAAACGGGCAGAGCAAAAGTCATCCGAAACATTCGGAGGGCTGTCGCTTGCTTTGATCCACAGGTGGAAAAAGATCTCCAACGGATCCACCTCCAATGCGATCCAGAAACAGGGATCTGGGATGGGTCTGGTATCATTCTCCGGCTACGCAGTGAAAGTAGTGCAAGAAAGATGATGGCTGAATTCCCCACACAGCTCCTCTGCTGGCAAGGCACAGTTGAAATCCAAACGACAGCGAGCAGTCTGAACCTCAAAGTGTCGCCTCAGGCAACTCGCGATCAGTCTAACCCTGAGGCCAGGTCACAAACGACGGGGACCAGAGCAGAGGGAACTGTGTGGAACAGTTCCATTATCAATGAAACCAACTTCCCAGATGCGGGAACGGACGTGGTCGTCGAAGAACTTAAGGAAACTATTGCTGACGTAACTAGGAGCGAGCTGCAACAGCAAGGACAGCTTCAACTCCATCTTGATGACGCGGTGCAAGAGATGGCTCCGGAGAGCCCAGGAAATGCATCCTTCCCCACGCTACAAGAGTGGGCTGATAAGGGTGCCAACGCGGCAGAGAATGCCGTGAGCAAGCGACTGCGTGAACGAGTCAGGGTGATTGCAGGCAAACATACGTGGAAGGTAGCTAAGCGCAAGAACAGCGCTTTCGCACCAAATGAAGAGAAGCCATTGAAAACTGATCTCCTCTTCATTGCTTTGAATAAATTCCTGGAGGCAACGGCGCTCTCCCTCGTAGGAATGCTGGGAGATAGAAACGAATTGAAATTTGTTTTGAGCAGTGAGCTACAGATGAAAGACGCTCGAATGGAAGATGTACCCGCGGCTGGGAGCATGGCGGCAGAATCGGAAGAGATGTCGCTTGACTCCTTCCCAGCAGCGCAAGCCTAATGGAAGCAGGAGGAGGAGGAGGAGTTGAGGGCAGGTGGGACAGTGGGCACCAGGGCGTGGTGGAATCAAGCAGAAAGAGACAAGAAGGTGAGAAAAAGAATGACAAAGAAAATCCAAAAAACAGAAAAATACAAACATTCGACTTGATAGGGGAGATCCCCTGGAGTCTACGGGAAAACAATAGAGAGTACGGAGCAGCGGCGCTGCTCAACTCAGGAGAAGATGGATTTCTCTCTGAGGACGTTATGGAGGCTTTAATCGTTGAGGTAAACCGAAATTTAGAACCAGCGGAAGACAGATTTCAAATAGCATGGCTCCAAGGCACGAGGTATGCCAGCGAGCAAACTAGAAACCAATTTGGGCTGCAGAGAGGGACCATTGTTCTCCCGAGAATAGTAGCGGGTTTGAGAGATCAGGAGGGAAGGGCAAGGAGAGCAAAGCGACTGTTAGCCGGAGCAGATCAACCATTATTATTCCCATGCGTAGAAAACGGCAATCATTGGATCCTAATCGTGGCAGATGTCAACACAAAAAGAATACACATCGTCGACTCGCTCAACACGGCCGGGGAGAGAGACCTGGGGACAGTCAGAAGTCAAAGGGATGCACAGTTTCAATTGGGGGGCGCACAGCGAATGGACCTAGCATCACTCGTGGCGACGATCATCACCGAGGCAATTAGCGACCAACAAGAACAAGACGACAAGGCATGGAGGGCATGTGTGTCAACGGGACTGCAACAAACGGACGGCTACAACTGCGGAATTTTTGTACTACTGCATCTGCTACTGATCGCAAAGACACGAAAGCAGACGCAACAACACGATATCTTCAACATAGGTAGGCAACAAGGCGTCCCGCCACACCAACAATGGCTCGTGAGAACAAGGCACCTGCTGCTGGATGGGCTCTGGGGAGGGGGTCTAGAACAAGTTCACATGCGAGAAACGATCCAATGCATCTGCAGAGCGTTACAACACGCGCAAGAAACAGGCTACAAGGAATGGCAAGCAGCAAAGCTCACCATGGAACGTAGACCTAACCAGATGGAAAGGCGAGAGAATGGCCAAAAACGCGCAGGCGAGCTTCAGATGACCCAGGTAGCCGAAGATGCATGGCTAGAGGAGAGATGGAAAGATGGAGCGGCCCTGCAAATACCAGACAGGTCAGCACAGGGGGACATCCTGCCATACCCCCCTCCACCACCTCCCGCCCCATGCCCCGTCTCTCCACTCCAGCCACCTTCCCCCCCACCAGACATGCACGCAGAGACAAACTCGAAGCACGACAAGGAGACTAGGGGGGAGGAGGAGCCATCAGCCCCAACGAAGATGCAAGAGAGGCACGCGTCTCACCTTCAATGGGCATCGGAGGCGGAGGAGCAAATCCTAACAGCAAGCAGCAACGCACACGAGGCTACCACCGATAGGTCAGTGCACTCAGCATGGGTGGAAACCCACAAGAAGGACAACGCTCCAGGCAACATCATCTCTCAAAATGTCAATGGATGCAGTCAATTCGTGCTGAAACACATCCTGGCATATTTGATTGAGAAGTATCATCCATCTATTGTCATGTTGCAGGAAGTCAGGGTGGGGCGTGGTAAGAAAAAGGAAACAGATCTCCGAATGATGATCAAGAAAGAATGGGGATGTTACCGAATGTTTATGACCAATGGTACAGGGTTAGGGAGAAAGGGTAAGAGTGATCTACGCCTTGTGATACTGGCGCATGCTGACCTTCTCCCGCGCCCCCCCTCCTCGCCAAATGGTACAGCATTGGAGGGGGCACACAGACAAAAAATACAAGTTTTACAGATCTCACGAAAAAAAGAAAACATACTTCTGTGTAACATTCATATGCCAGTGGCGACGGAGGAGGGGGAACAAGACAGCATGTGGAAGGCGCTAAGCCAGATGCTCAAGCCAGACCCAAACATCAAGCTCATCATCATCGGAGGCGACTTCAATGCATCTCGACAACATCCAGAGATCCCCATGAGAATAGGATACGGAAGCAATTCGAGTGTACACCGTGCAGATGAGAAAATGGAGCAAGTCTTAAATGAGCTTGGGCGATTCCAGACAGTCACCTGCGAGAAGATGTGCAAAAGCAGCACACACTTCACCTTCTCCACATGGTACAAGCAGGGTCACCACCAAGCGAAATTGGATCATATCTTTGCTTTCCATCATCCATCTCGCACAGTAAGCCTGATATCGCAGACTGCAGAAGACTGCATCATAGGAGCTGCCGTCGACCACAGAGCACTCGTAGTGAATGTGAGCTCGCTCGATGCTGAGGTGAGCAAGCCATCCCAAAGATTGAAATTCTCCCGCAAAGGAGAGATCGAGAAGCAATTCCTCGACGAAAGAAAAGGGTGGTCGAGATGGACAAGTTATCAGGAAGATTAGGTGTAGAATGGGCAATAGCACTGGATGAGAAGATAACAGCGGCAAAAGCCCTACACCAAGACTTGGACATTCTCGAACTGATAACAACAGCCCTCCCCATCAAGGAAATCCCCCTACGAGGCTCCAGCGGGAAAAGACATGCATCTAAGATTCAGATGGAGCTGAAACGCAAATCAAGCAACTTCACAAGGATTTAAGAAACGCTTCAGAAATTCCAGACTTTATTGATCGCGCACACAAGGAGTCGAGCTTACATGCAGAAATAAGAGAGAATATGACCAAATTCAAAGAGATCTGTGCAGCACAGGACCAAGAGATATTTCTGAAAACATGCGACGAACGCAGAAGACGCTTGGGGACGATAGGCAGTAAAGAGTCTCAAAACGCGATGGGCAAGAAGTCAGACTTTAAGCCCAAAGCCCCAATGCTGAGTCAACTGCCAGAGAAGTGCCACCCAAATACAATCGAACTTACGTCATGGAAGGATCTCCAGCAAGCGCTGCAACAGCCGGAGACAGCATATCTTCAAGAACTGAACCCGTTAATCGAAACATTCTTACAAAGCAGCTCCAAAGAATCAAGCAAAACCTTTTGGAATGCAAGACATCAAACCATGCTACACGTCGAGACTCTCGGGGCGAGAAACCAGGCACCACAAAAGATGTACATAACTCTGGCGCCTGCACACGCGATCGTACCCATCATCCGAGGACTGATCACCCGGGGGCAGCCAGGAGGGTGGCGCTTAGTAGGATACAAAAACATCGAGCAATTCATCCCCATGAGATTGGCAAGAGACCTCGAAGATGAAACCCACACGGCAACCTTCTTTGCAGTGAACGGCTGTACATTGAACGGAACATGCGCACGGGCTGAATGTCAAACAAAGGGAAGAATGATTCCGCTGTACGACAGACGTCAGGAAAACAAAGAACCAAAGATCCTCTTCTTCTGCAAAAGCTGTCAATTATTCACTTCCATCAAACCACCGGACTTCGACCCCCCAGATCAAATCAATCAATATCAGACCAGGGAGATAGAAATAGCATACCCGCTGGAGCCAGGAGAGATTCAGGTCTGGATCCAAAGATTATCCAACCGCAAGGCAGCAGGCATGGATTTGATCTCAAATGAGATCCTGAAAGCTCTACCTGATAGCGCAAAGGAGGAGATAGGGGAAGTAATCAGCAAAGCTTTGACAGGAGACAAAAAGATGTTGAATATGCTGGCAAGGGTCAGGCTCTTACCAAAAAATGAGCTCTGTCACGTCCTGGAGAACCAACGACCTATATGCGTCCTCTCCTCGGTGACGCGGATCTTCCAGGCGGTCATAGCGCACAGACTCGCGAAAGCAGCTGAAAAACATAAGCTGCTGACGAACAACCAGGAAGGTTTCAGACCAGAGGGAGGGACGATCCGGCAGGGCCATCGTCTACTCAACATCATCGAGGAGGCTCAGAGCAATCAACACACCCTCATCCTGTTATACCTCGACTTTGCAAACTTTTTTAACAACGTGGCAGTCGAATCCATCGCAAAAATCATGGAAGTATATGGCTTCCATCAGCGTGATGTAGACGTGGTAATCAGCGGCAGCAAAGGGATAGCATTGCAGATTCAAACAGAGAGGTTCGAAACGGCAGCCATCCCGCTTCTCAGGGGATTACCTCAAGGCAGTCCTGCAAGTCCTCCCAAAACAAATCTACTGCTCAGCATCCTGTCCAGACAACTCGATCAACAACAAGACGAGATTGCAACTCAGCAGCCCAACAACCTGTCATTCGCAGATGACCTTGTACTGATAGCCAACTCAGTGAGGGAAATGAAAACACTAGTTCAAGTGGTAGAGCGATTCTGTAGATGGAGCGGATTAGAACTGAACACGAAGAAATCTGAAATCACCAGCTTTGATTATCGGCTCAAGAGGGAGATCCCGGGGACGCAAAACATCAAGTTCTTCGACAAGGAGTTTGTGAACCTACCACCGACGAAATGGTTCAAATATCTAGGGATTCGAATCAGCTTGTGGCGATCAGGAGGAAGAGGCAACAGGGTGCACACCTGCCCCTTCACGTGGGGAGAGAAGGAGCATATCTTCGAAAAGACCAGGGAACTGACAAACCTGATTGAATCATCGGCCTACTCTGCAGCCCAGAAATACTACCTAGTCAAAGTAGGTATCGTGAATATCTTTCGATACTCGGCGGTACTCGTTAGCTGGACGTGGAAAGATTTACAAACCTTGGATAACCTCTGGACCAGAGCGTTCAAACGAGCTATGGGATTGAGTAAGAGCACAAGCAATGCGATTTTTCGCCTACCTTGGGACAGAGGAGGCCTCCAACTCCCCCATCCAGCACCCATCTTGGGAAGGGCGGCGATTCGGTATCTAGAGAAAGAAACGAATAAGAAATGCAGGGTGGATGATGATATCAAAAGCAGTCTGATACACAAACTAACATCATGGTGCAACCAATGGGGGTGTCAAACAATAAGCCAAGTACAACGAGAAATCAGATCGGGCAGACTCAACGAAATCGAAGAGATAAGGGGCCCAGAACGACTCGCAATATGGGTAGCGGAGAAAATGCAGACAACTATCAGCTGGGAAATGATTGAAAGCAAGATGAGACCGGGGACAATAGCTATGCTACACGACATTGAAGACAAGATGCTCTCAGAAGAAAACTCCCTGCTCCCAGAAGAACAATCCCTGCGTACATCTCCTGCTCGGCAAGGCTGGGAGAGCTTTGCTAAGGCATGGAGAAAATTACCCCAAGTAGGCTATCACTACCTAACAAGTATCTTACCTGTTCCAGATACCGAAGGCATCTCCCTGCACCTACCCATTCGACTCTGGCCATTCCCAAAGCAACGGGAACAGGCAGAAGAAATCCTTGCACGATATCTGCAAGTGAACGTCATCTGGGCAAAACTCGGTCAAGAGCAGGCAGGAACAGGGAAGAGAAGAAGGCCAGCCAGAGAGGAAGGGAAGCCCTCAAACAAGAGAAGGAAAGGAAAAAGGGAGGCTAGCCCACCCGAGCTCCTGCCACCCACGAAACTAGCCAGACCGGACCAAGGGAGAGAGGAAACAAATAGGAGGGCTCATACCCGGGAGATTTTGAGGGAGCTCCTCCAACATGACGCTACTTACTATGGGGATGACAAGAATCAGCGAGAAAGATTCTGCTACACTTCAGGGCGCATACCTTTCAAAGTTCATGGAGACATCGCTATCTTTGAGCCGCCCCACACAGGAGTAAACACAACCTCGGACCCACCAATAGAATGGGTGGAAGCGTCGCTGGACTCGGCTCCCTTCACATCTGCAACAAAGGAAGAAGAAGACGGGAATAACCGAAGAGAATGCAATCAAAGTATCCATCTGTTGCTGGAAATAGTCAATATGTTGGACGACGGCGAAACAGAAGCTACAGCATGGTGGCAACAACTCGAAGAGGTAGTATCAGAGGTTCGCCAAGAAACAACACAACCATTGGCATACGAGTTTTTACAACACCTAGCAGAGATCACAGATTGTGACATCAGCACATTTCGTAACTGGCCGACACTACACACACATCCCCAGGCTCTGAGCAACAAGAGAGCAAAGGAACTGCAACGAGTGGTGGTTTGGATAGATAAACAAAAGAGATTTCGCGAGCACATCCTGCAAAACACAATACATGTCATTCTGATAGGATGGAAGAATAACATTGATGAGATACCAGAAGGCTTCGAAATTATCAGCCGGATCCCGAAAGGCGCTCAGATAGCATACGCAGCAAACTTTTGGGGAACAGGGAATCGTTGCCTGATGAAAACGTTAGAGGAGCTATGGATACTCGTCAAGCACACATTCCCAACATACCCCAGAGCTCAGCTTCATGACAACATCCTCCCAACGTATGAGGAGATGTGTATCCAACGAAGGGGTCAGATCCAGCCGCGCAGCAATCACCAAGGCGGAAGGAATTTCACAGCAGCTATTGAAGGAGACGTCACACAGAGCAGAAAAAATAGAACCATGCGAATAGGGTATGTTCTCCAGCAACAAGCGACGGCAGCAGGAGGAGGGATGAAAATCAATGGGAAATGCAGCATCATTCGAGCGAATACAATTGCAATTGGCTTACTGTTCCAACACATCCTCGAGGAAGGGATACAAATCAAGAGGGGAAATCAAGTCACAATCATGTATCAGTCCACCCGCTTTCACCGCTTCATCACGAATACATTACGCATTGATACCATGCGATACGAAGATGAACTGCTGGAGGACCTACATGATCGATTACTCACTTGCATGAAGAAACTCGAGGGGAGAGGAATCAAGATCCGACTTCAATTAGCAAAAGAATCCGACCGGCACATCCAAGAGGCAAAGGAGATGGCCAAGCAAGCAAAACAAACATTTGCCTCGGGATGGGAGAAAGCGATTTATGACAGCGCAATGGAGTTCACCATCGCAGGAGAAGACAACCCTACATCAGGAATGGATAGACTGAAGAAGTGGGACTATATAATTCGACAACAGGCAATGACTGCGAGGATTGGAGCGGGAGACCTCACCTTGACGGAGAAATTCATGCTTGAAGTACATGTGGGCAGAGAACTACTCGGGAAGGCGTTCAGATTATGTCAAGGTTCATTCACACGAACAGCAATTCAAGCGATAACCTTCTCAGCACCGACGAGGAAGAAGCTCTTTCAATGGGGGAAGACTAACTCATCATGCTGCCCCCACTGTCCAGACCGAGAAGAAACCTGGGGGCATATTCAGCTGGCATGTCGGCAGTTTCAAGCAATGATCCAACAAGCACACAATCAAGTCATGAAGAAGATCAAGGTAAAACTGCAGCAGAGTTGGAGGAAACAAAGGCTACAGGTCACTACATGGTGGGAAACTCCAATGCGCATCGTGATGGAAGCGATGGGGACATCAATGCACCAAGAAGGACAATGGATACCAGACGGTTGCTGCTACTTTACAAACATCAAACGCATCGTCATCATTGAATTCGCAAGGACATCGGAATATGACGGAGTCGAACAAACAAGCCTGGAATGCCTGAAGAAGAAATTTCAGGAAAAAGAAGAGAAATATACCGCTCTACGAGCAGCAATCACAGCTCTGCTCCCTGACCATGAAGTTGAACAAGCAACATTCATAGCAGGAGTGAAAGGATCGATCATGGAAAGGGAATGGCATGAGAATTTCAGGATGCTAAGGGTGGAAGACACGGAATGGGAAAGCATCAAGACAGCAGCAATCAAGCAACTGCTGGAGGTGCAACACATGCTATGGACGGCAAGAAGGGGAAGCGAGTCGACCTAGTCCGATGGGGGCAGGTGAGGGGGCAGGCGCGGCACAGGGGCAAGCCACCTATGGAGCACAGGCGGCAGGGAAGGAAAACAAGCCTAGCATCAAGGAGGCAGGCGCAGCTCATGGTCATGGAGGGAAGAGGTGGGCGACTGGGGGGGGAAGGGACAGGACAGGCGCAGCTAATAGTCTTGGAGGGAAGGGGTGGGCGACTGGGGGGGGAAGGGACAGGACAGGCGCAGCTCA